AATTCGCATTCATTCCATTTGTATGCTTATACTATTTTGTCTTTCATTTTCTTTCAAATTTTCAAAATATGCCCTTTGAAAGCACTTTTATTAAATTATTTTTATAAAACACTTTGATGAAAGTACTTTCATAAAAGTAATTTTATAAAATTCAATTAGAGATAATTTTATAAGTGGTATTTTAAAATTCAACTAGGGATAACTTTGGAAGAAAAAAATTGAATAAGTGCTTATTGTATAAGCACCTAAAAAAAGATGGAAAATTGGATTTAAAAAATAAACCCTTATTTTTAAACTAAAAACTTATTTTGGGCTTATTTCCCAAATACCAATAAGTGCTTAATGACCCAAATAAACACTTATTTTGGAACTTTTAGATTCATCACCAGCCTTGGAATGGACGATAATGGATGTAATGCTTCTTATAATTCTCGCATGTTGGTAGATTCATCACCAGCCTTGTGTCGTGCCTGCAACAACCCCCTTCCATCCTTTGCATGTCCCCATATGAGAATAATGGTTGAATTAATTTGTTTGACTTTGATTAATGATATTTATAGAGTTACAAAGATAAGTAAGTCCTATCTTGATTAGGATGGGTTAGATGAAACCTAACCAAGATAGAGCTTATCTCACTAGTATAAGTTTATCCTTTACAAAAGTAATCTACAGAGATGAGGATTATCTACAAGGGAGAAGTACAATAGAAGAGGTAATTACAATGTGAGTTGGAGAGAGAGTCTACAACATGATAGAGGAGAAGAAGGAGTTCCACTCGCATACGCCATGCACGTATGCACATTATTGTTTACACTCCCCCTCAAGCATAGCCGGGGGAGCCACGGTGAGCTTGTGACGAAGGATATCAAATTGTGGAGGACCAAGAGGTTTAGTGAGAATATTTGCGATCTGATCCGCCAAAGATATGTACTGTACATGAAAGAGCTTAGTCGCAACTTTCTCTCGAATGAAGTGAATATCCAACTCGATGTGTTTGGAGCGAGAATGAAGTGCATGGTTTTTAGTAAGAAATTTAGCTCCCATGTTGTCACACACCATATCAAAGGAGTTGCAGAGAGGGAGACACCTAATTCTTGGAGGAGCATGTGAAGCCATAAAACCTCTGCAACAGCAGAGGCTAAGCTGCGGCATTCTGATTCAATGCTGGATCGTGCCACTGTAGGTTGCTTTTTAGAACTCCAGGAAATTAAGTTAGGATCAAGAAATACACAATATCCACTCTGAAAACGTAGATCCATAAGACAACTTCCCTAATCAACATCAGAGTGAGCAACAAGAGAGAAGGTACGACATGGTTGAAGAAGCAAGCCATAAGTGATTGTACCTTTCAGATAGAGAAGAATCCTTTTTGCAGCTGCTCAGTGTACCGTAGTAGGAGATTGCATGAAGTGACATACCTTGTTTACAGCAAGGGAAATTTCTGGACGAGTAATAGTAATGTACTGAAGAGTGCCAACAATGCTACGGAAGAAAGTGGGATCAGTAAGTGGTTCGCCCTTTGACTTGGTGAGACGAGCGGAGGAAAACATAGGAGTGGAGAGAGGTTTGGCATCATGAAGTTGTGCTCGATGCAGAAGATCAATATACTTGTGCTGAGAGAGATGAAGACCATGTGACGATCTATGAAGTTCAACACCAAGAAAATAATGTGCAGAGCCCAAATCACGAAGAGAAAACTGAGAGGAAAGATTCTGAATGAGGGTGTTAGTGGCAGATGAAGATGAGCCTGTAATGATAATGTCATCCACATAAATAAGAATTAAAATGATGTCAGAACTAGAACGAGAGATAAAAAGGGAGGCATCAGCCCGGGATTCAAGAAAACCGAGAGAGAGAGAGAGAGAGAGAGAGAGAGAGAGAGAGAAGAAATTCACGCATCCTGGTAAACCATGCACAAGGTGCCTGTTTCAATCCATAGAGAAATCAATGGAGACGACGGGCATGTGTTGGAAATTTGGGATCAACAAAGTCAACTGGTTGCTTCATATAGATTTCTTCTGAAATGTCACCATGTATAAAGGCATTGTTGACGTCCAATTGGCGAACAACCCAATTAAAGGAAACAACAAGAGAGAGCACTATGCGAATGGTAGCTGGTTTGACTACAGGGCTGAATGTTTCATCATAATCAAGGCTTGCTTCCTAGGAGAAGCCTTTGGCAATAAGGCGTGCTTTGAAAAATTCAACTGAGCCATCAGGTTTGCGCTTGATTTTAAAAACCCATTTGTTTCCAATAATATTTTTATCAGGTGGGGCTGGGACAAGGGTCCAAGTGTTATTTTGAAGCAAGGCCTTATTATCATCAGTCATGGCAAGAACCCATCGAAGATCCTTATGAGCTTGATAATAACAAGTTGGTTCAAATTCAGCAAGGGGACTAGCAAGTAAGGCATACCTCAGATTTGGCTTGAATATACCATGGCAAGCTCGAGTGGTCATCAGATGCAAGGAAGAAGAAGGTGGTAAGGCAGAATCAGTGGATTCAATAGTGGAAGATGAGGGCGCAACTTCCTGAGGGGACGATGGGGAAGATGAGACTTCAATTGGAGAACCAGTGTCTGAAGCAACAACAATGGGAGGAGCCCTAACTGGAGGAAGCGGGGTCAACGATGGTGGCGATGCAGTAACCGTATGATGAAGAAACGGAAAATGTTCCTCATTTAAAATAACATTGCGAGAAATAAAGACCCATCCTGTAGGCTGATGCAGGCAAACATAACCTTTGTGAGAATTAGAGTACCCAAGAAATACACATGAAAGGGAGCGAGGTTGTAACTTGTGCTTCTTATATGACCGAACATGAGGAAAACATTCACACCCAAATGCACGAAGTTCGAGGTAATCTAGAGGATGCCCAAATAATTTCTCAAACGAAGAGCACGATCCAAGAACCAAAGTAAGAAGCCGATTAATGAGATAGGCAGCAATGGAGAAGGACTTGAACCAATATTTAGGAGGGACTCCGGCATGAGTCATGAGAGCAAGACCAGTCTCAACAATATGGCGATGTTTGCATTCAACTCGCCCATTCTGTGCCTGTGTATGGACATGATATACGGCGAGAGATACCCACATGATTAAAATAATTTTCAAAATTTTTTAATTTTAGCATCAAATAATAATTCAACATTAGCTTTAAAAGCCTCAGGTTTGAAGGTGAGAGGAAAAATCCAACTGTACCGACTAAAATCATCAACAAAAAGAATATAGTAACGATGGCCAGAAGCAGAAAGTACTGGAGAGGGTCCCCATAAATCACAATGAATTAATTCCAAAGGAGTTTTACTAATAGTATGATTTCTGGCAAAGGGAAGTACATGACTTTTGGCCATCGAGCAAGCTGAACAAAAATTAAATGCAGTACTAGAAGTAAGAGGTAAATGCTGGGAAGAGATAATAGATTGAATCACTTTGAGAGCAGGGTGACCTAGTTGATGGTTCCAGATCGTAGGACTGGCACGAATACCTACGAACGCAGAGGGGGGAGAAACTGGTGTCATGATAGGGAGACGAAGCTGATACGAACCATCCTTATTCAGCCCTGGAAGAATTATCATCCTGGTGCATTGATCATTCACAAAAAATTCATCAGGATGAAATTCAAAGTAGACATTATTATCAGTAGCAAACCGAGCCACCGATAAGAGATTGAAGGAGATCCGAGGAACATGCAGAATATTATTCATAAGCAGTGATCTGGAAGATAAAGTAGAAACAGTAGAAGAGCCTGAATGAGCAATCTGCAAACCTGAATTGTTGCAAATAGAGACTCAATCAGATCCATCATAGTTAGAATGGATTTGTAGTTTATTAAGATCTAAAGTGAGATGATGCGTTGCTCTAGAATTAGGAAACCAGATATCTGTATTTTTCTTATTGCCGCCGGAAGCAGCTGTAAATGCCAGGGTTATGGTCGTTTAGGGTTCTTCAAACTGCCAATATGTGCAAGTAATTTTTGACAGTACCTAGCAGAATGATTCCATCCTCCACAAATCTGGCAGGGATTATTGCTATATTTTGAGGGCTTGGTGGAGCCATTACCCGATTGAGGTAGATCAACTTTATTATATTTCTTGGAATCTTTCCCTTTGGAGGTAAGATTCGCAGAAGGAGAGGTAGCTTGTGCAGTTACGAAATGAAGCAAACGATTTTCATGAGTGAAAAGTATACCTTATAAGCTAGCAAATGATAACTCATCTGTGCGAGTAATGATAGCTATAGAGAAAGCATCATAGTCTGGACTGATACCATTGAGGACATGATGAATCAGCTGTGAATTTGTTAGAGGTTCTCCAATTGTGGCGAGTTTGTCACCAAGCACCTTGAGTTTTTGCAGATAGGCGGTCATGGAAAGATCATTCTTTCGCAGTGCGTCGAGTTCGTTTCTGAGGCCAATGAAACTAGCTATTCCTCGAGGAGAATAGAGACTCTTAAGGGTTTCCCAAACATCCTTGCTAGTTTTGCTTCCCACGACTTGCGCCAGGGCTGTTTTTGTTAGAGAGGATAACAACCAGCTGAAAATATAATGATCCTGCTTAACCCATTGTGTGTAGGGTTCTGTCATCGAGCGAGATGGACAAGGGTTTGTCCCATTGACATAGCCGAGGAGCTCATGGCTCAGAAGGGCATTTTCAACCTGAAAACGCCATACAATATAGTTGGAACCATCCAACCGTACTAAAATCAACTGAGGAATGTGATTCCCCGATGCTCCAAAGTTGATTTGATTGATTGAACTGGAAGACATGTTGGAAGACATGATGAAAGAAACTTGAAGAAGAAGAAAAGAAAAAACAAAGATTTGTTTATGGCTCTGATACCATATGAGAATAGTGGTCGAATTAATCAGTTCAACTTTGATTAATGATATTTATAGAGTTACAAAGATAAGTAAGTCCTATCTTGATCAGGATGGGTTACATGAAACCTAACTAGGATAGAGCTTATCTCACTAGGATAAGTTTATCCTTTACAAAAGTAATCTACAAAGATGAGGATTATCTACAAGGGAGAAGTACAGTAGAAGAGGTAATTACAATGTGAGTTGGAGAAGGAGTCTACAACATGATAGAGGAGGAGTTCCACTCGCAGACGCCATACGTGCATGCGCCATGCACGTATGCGCATTATCGTTTACACCTCAACTTCCATCAGAGTTAAACAACAAAAAAATACGGGAGAAATAGAGGATGAAAACCTACATCTGCGTTTGGACTGGAAGGAATGGAGGCTGGGTGGACTTCGACTTTGTCTGATACGTATGTCTGGATTTCTCCTCTGCCTTAGGGGCAGCTGGAATGAACGGAGAAGTAAACGATCTCTCTTCCTTTGAGCTCTGATCTCTCTCCTTCCTTGTCGTTTGAGTGGGCAGTGGTAGTGAATGAGTGTTGAACTAATATTAAGAAAAAGAGGAGATCAAGTGACTGAACCAAAGCACATCCATGGTAGTTCTTCACTCCAAACGTTCTAATGCTCCCCCACCGCTTTGGCAAAAATGATTAAAGAAAAAAAAAAACATAACTCCCCTTCATTTCCTTTCTTCAAGGCCATGTTTGTTTGGGGTGGAAAATCGAACCAGGGTAAACTTTACACCTCGGTTCGATTTTACACATGTTTGGAAAGAGTGTAATTTTACATGTAAATCGGTGTGAAACTCATTTTAAAATTTTTTTATACCGATAATCGATGAAAAATATACATCAAAATTGTCAATGTAAAACTAACGTCTCTTTCTTGTCATTTTTTCTCTGTTGGTGCCGATATGTCTTTGTCAAACAACTAGAAGGAAAACCCAGCGACAGTGGCAATATGAGATTTCTCTCTCCCAGGGCGGATTTGAACATAGGGTGGCAGCAACAAAACCTAGTTGCAGTGGCAGTATGAGATTTCTCTCTCCCAGGGCGGATCTGAACCCAGGGCAGTAGCAGCAAAACCCAATTGCAACAGTAGTATGAAATCTGTGAACCCACCTCTGACCTTTCTCTCTCCATCTGTCTCTCTTTCGTTTTCTCTCTCTTTCTCTCTTATCCTCCTCATTTTTCTTTTTCTTCTTCTTTCTCTGCTTCCCTCCTTCTATGTCGACTGTAGTAGCTCCCGTCTCATTGAATTTACACCTTGACAACTAAACATAGTCGATGTAAATTTTCAAAATCTACCAGTCCTAATTTCCATCGGCAACTAAACCGGTTCACATTTTCCATCGATGTAAAACTGAATTTACACCTAAAACAGCAGCCGAAGGAAAAAAAAAGAAAAATAAAATTTGAAATGCCAGGAAGCAAACAAGGGAAGCAAGATAATACGGCAATCGTATTTGAGAAGAAGCTCACTTCTCAAGGTTGCGTTGATGCCATGGGTCCCTCCTCACCCCGTATTTATAGGGTTTGGGTAAGAGTAGTTTAGGTATTTTGGGAGTTTATAGGGGTAAGAAAGTCCAAGAGAGGTGAGTGTAGGGGTATCCTGGGTAAGACGAGTGATGAGGGGTATTTTGGATATTTCAGGGGTTTTCAAAGGTTATAGGTGTCCTGGGAAAACTGAAAGTAAGGGTATGCTGGGTAACTGGGTAAGAGAGGAAGTGAGGAGTATCTCAGGTATTTCAAGAGTTCTTAGCGGTATAAGTGTCCAGATGGGGTGACTTTAGGGGTATTCTAGGTAGACGAAGGATAAGGGGGTATTTTGGCTATTTTAGGGGGTTTTGGGGATAGATATGTCATTTTAGTGAAAGCCATAAGAAAAGAAGGTTGGCAAATTTGGGTGGCCAAGATTTTCTTAAGAGAGATTATTGGTGGGGTCAAATGGGTGAGGATTTCGAGGGTTTCGAACTTTTTGGTGGGGTCAAATGGGTCTAAAGAATCCTATATTTAGGAGATTTATGAGATCATGGCTGGGAAGAGACGAAAAAAGAATCTTGCTTTGATCATGGGGTAAACGAAAGCGTATCGATGTAAAATTTAACAAACAAGGGTTTTAGGGTACCCGGAGTCTTTACGAAGAAGTATCAACCCTATTAGCAACTTTTAGATGTTCTATTTTTTTTTTTTTTTATTTTCTGGCAAAGATCTAGAAGAGCTCCATTGATTCATTTACTCCAAGAAAGTGTTTATAAGGATACCTTCTAATGGCATGTAAAAAAAAAAAAAAAAATACATCCCTAGCATTTTTACAAACATTGTAAGCTAGCTTATGCACCATTTCATTTTTTGTTGTTCTATTAACATAAACCACAACAAGTTTATCAAACCAATTCGACAGCGCCAGTATCTTAGAATTCTTTAATTCCATCGTACAGGGGATGAATCCTAATTGTGGATTAATGCCAAATCCATAAGGGGGAGGGTGATAATTCAAAATTCTGCATTGGGCTATCTGTACACTTTTTCCATTTATTTATTATATTAAGATACGTTGCTAATAGAATAAATGGGAATAGCCTATGCAACCATTTTAATCATGGTAGTTCTTGCTACCTGCGATAATATCTTCGCCTTCCACAAGGCTATCCTCTATTTAGTTTTCTCCACCAGTTCTTAGAAAGCAGCTGCTCTATTCTCTCTCATCCATAGCCTTGTATCAAGATATTTATCCTTCAAATTTACAAGTTTCATTCTCAGCTGTTGTTGTAACATTTTCTTTTGTCTTCTATGTAGATTCTGGCTAAAGTATACTCTTGATTTAGCCAAATTTACATGTTGGACCGACAACTTTTGAAACTTCTCTAATATTTCCAAAATTTTTCTAGCCTCCTTTGAATCTGCCTTGGCAAAAATAATGCAGTCATATGCAAATAACAGAAGAGAAACAGACATGCATTTTCTCTTTGAACTTGAAGCCATGAATATCTCTCCCTCCAACTCAGCTTTCTCTAAGAAGACTGATTACACTTGTATACCCCAGATGAACAAATAAGGTGATAAAGGGACATCTTGTCTGAATACCTACTATATATGCCTTTGTTTCTTGATTTTTTTTTTTTTTTAATTTATGCAGGAATTCAGCCACTACATGTTACATTGCTCCATTATGATATCCCTCAAATGCATGAAGATGATGAGTATGCTGGACGGCTTAGCCAACAGATTCTGTAATTTTTCTCACTCTCATACCTCATATTGCTGATACTAGATTCATTATTCATCAAGTGTAAAATTGAATTAATATCAAATAATGAGTATGATGATGCTAAACCCTATATGGATGTAAGAATGATTTCACGGCTTATGCATATGTGTGCTTTAGAGATTTTGGTGGTAGAGTGTCTCATTGGACTACTTTGGGGGTGTTTCTGGTTTGGATTTGGAGAGGGGGGAAAGTTGGTCAATGGGGTTTTGGTTCCTATTTATCAAGAATCCCATGTTCTTTATTCAGTTTTATGTGGGGAGCAGGGAAAGTTTATTTTCCTGTGTATCACTTACCCAAGAAAGTGATACCCATCTCCTAGGTGGGTAAATAATTTTCTCACATAGGGGGAAAGTTGCCAATACTTGAATGTGACAAAAATGCCCCTTTTAATAATGGATTTATATGACTAAAATGGTCAGTGCCTTATTTACCTGATAAATAAAAGAACATGGGTAAAAGCATTTACCTAGGTAAGTGTTTCCCAGGAAAAACTTACCCAAATAATTACATTTATCCGGATAAGTAACTTACTGAAAAACGAACGGGGCCTTGGAATGACCCCAACGTCTTTGCCTTGGGAGGTTATGACAATGAAGTATTTCCACTTAAGCATTGTTCTTCACCTTTTGGGATTAACTGCACAATTGGAAATTCAGCTATAGAGCCATACATTGTTACACATAACATCTTGCTTGCACATGCATCAACTACAAGATTATACAAAGATAAGTATGGCTCAGTTTGCAAATTTCAAGGGAGTGAAAGAGATGGTGATGCAAGGGAAGCAACATGAAGTTATAGGCTTGAATGTCTTTGCTTACTGGTTTCTTCCTTTTACAAGCACAACTGAAGATCGATAAAGCTGTAACCCAAAGGGATAATGACTTCTATGTTGGGTGGTAATTAAGTCTATGCCCACCATGTATTCACAAAATGAGGTACCTCACATGTCCTATTAAAACTATCTAGCTAATTGCAGGTACATTGACACCTTATGTTTTGGAGACTACCCTACAACTATGAAGAAGATTTCTGGCTTGAGGATCCCCTCTTTCACTCCAAATCAATTGAAACAAATTAAGGGCCCATATGACTTCATTGGTCTAAATCACTACAACACATTGTATGTCAAGGATGACTCAGAGAAATTCAATGTTGATCAAAGAGATTTTATACGAAAGACATGGGTTGTGAAGCTTGAAAGTAAGCTGACCTAATTCAGATGAACATGGTGCAAATATATGTCGGAGTCAATTCAAACTCATTCAAGTTAAGCCAAAATGACTTATTTGACACCATCATCCTTTTGTTGGCTATCCTTGGGTGTAGTAGTCACTTGACTATTCAAACTGTGGTGTTTCTTTAGTGGGTTCTATATGAAGCCATGGAACTTATTTAAAATTTGCTTATTCTGCAGTTAACGTACTGTGATGGAGTGCCCCCAGGCGTGGTAATTAGTAGAACATATATATGTGGCTTTGTATATAGACATCTCCTCAGGCATTGAGTATATGGAGTGCCATCCTTTTGGCACGACACTTGGAAGCCGTATCCTCTTCCTTGAGTAGATATTTCCTATGCTTAGCTTAAACCTTCAACCATTGCTTGCTTTCATTTCTTCAGCTTCTT